TCGCGCGTCAAGTCCTACTCCAAGGCCCGGTCGTGGGTGCTGGGTATCCTCCTTCAACAGCTCCTTCACGCCCAAGCCGATTATTCTGTTAGGTTAATTGATCATTTTCAGTATGCTATGTTTTGTCTACTTGTGTTGATGTGTTTCGGGGATAAGCTCGACGAGGCTCAAATCAAACAAATTGAAGGTGTTCAGCGCAGGTTGCTCCTGGGTTTCCGACGATTCAATATACTCAATTTCTTACCCAGAGTTGGGAAAATAATCTTTAGGAATCGCTGGAAGGAACTAATTGAACTACGTCAAGAGCAAGAGAAGATCTTCATTCCTTTGATTGAAGCTCGAAGTATTAGGGCCAAAGAACAAAAGCCTGAGGAAGAAGTGGTGGCTTATGTGGATACGCTGTTGAATTTGGAATTGCCAGGGGAAAACAGGAGCCTCAATTATGGGGAAATGGTTAGCCTCTGCAGTGAATTCCTAAACGCCGGAACTGATACGACGTCCACCGCCTTACAGTGGGTTATGGCCAACTTGGTCAAAAACCCTTCCATTCAGGGAAAACTATATCAAGAAATTGCTAGTGTAGTGGGAGAGAAACAGAGCAAGTTGACAGAAGAGGTGGTAAAGGAGGACGATCTGCATAAAATGCCATACTTGAGAGCAGTGATCTTAGAGGGTCTTAGGCGACACCCGCCTGGTCACTTTGTGCTGCCACATACGGTGACAGAGGAAGTAGAACTGAATGGCTATGTTGTCCCGAAGAATGCCACCATCAATTTCATGGTTGCAGACATGGGTTTGGACCCAAAGGTGTGGGAGGATCCCTTGGAATTCAAGCCAGAGAGGTTCTTAATGGAGGGATCAGATAAGGAAGGGTTCGATATAACAGGAAGTAGAGAGATCAAGATGATGCCATTTGGCGCTGGTAGGAGAATTTGCCCAGGCTATGCTTTGGCTATGCTTCATCTAGAGTACTTTGTGGCTAATTTGGTTTGGCATTTTCGATGGGAGGCTGTGGAGGGAGATGATGTTGATCTTTCAGAAAAGCTAGAATTCACCGTTGTGATGAAGAATCCACTTCGAGCTCGTATCTGCCTCAGAGTTAACTCTATTTGAATTTGGTAATTACTAGTTCTTTCTATTTGCATTGTTCCCTGTTGATGGACTTCCCCCATATAGTACTGGAAGTTAGAGGGAGAATGATTATTAA